GACTACTTATTTTTGTCCAGCTTTAACATCGGTATTGATATCGGTTATCGGCTACATGAGTTTTAAAATATCGGCATATCGGATATCGGCCAAAATCCCAATACCGTGCATCCCTAATATATATATGTATATATATATATATATATATATATATATATATATATATATATATATATATATATATGCATGCACAAGTTTTTAATTTCATTATTAAACTTATCTAACCCAAATCAACAGTAAAATGCATCACATAATGTACTCACTAGCAATATTATAGTTAAAAGGTAGAGAAAGTCTAACTATATTTATTAAAGTTTTGGTTCAAACCGTTTACATGAAAATGAGGATGGAGAATCCTACAGGTTTAGCTCTAGATGCTCACAGCCTTACGCGTTTCTAATTACACTAAGACACTTGTTCCCTTCCTTCTAAAGATCTAAGAGGTTATTATAGATCATATTGCAAACACTGATGGACATTTAGCTTCCTTGGCTGCTTTGGGCTTATCTTTCCAGGTTCTTCCCAAAGGAATTTTTCAAATAATCTACTAATTGTAATAAGTGTTCACTGCAAAAATGATCCAGAAATAAGTAATAATGTCTTAAATTTAGTGTAATTACCCCTAATTTGAGTAGGTAAATAAGATTATTTGCCAGTGGAATGAGTATTTTTACTCTGAAAATAAGATAATTAGATAATATGCACTTGAAATAAGACAATGCAATATTTTTTTCTCATTCCATTGGCAAAGTGTCTCAATTACCACCTCAGTTCAAGAAAAAATGCACTTATTTTAGGAAAAAAATTACTTATTTAGATTTACATTTTTTGCAGTGTATGTACCTCCAATGATCATTGTTAACAGCAAAAGTTCATCCAAAGTCATTTTGATTTGAATCAGAGGTCAAAATCTATCAGTATCTATCAGAAGAAAAAAATAAGGCTAATTTAGTTTGATTTATAGGAAGAACCTACAAGAGATCCACCGATACCGTTTTTTAAGGCCTGATTATTTTAATATCAGTTCAACCGATTCCCAGTATGTGCTGCTGATATTTTCAGGTTTCATTTTTTTTTCCGCATTGAATTGGCTTTTTTTTCCCTCTATTTTCCATGATGATAAAGGCACAACAGTACACAAAACTTCCTCTAACCAAAAGATGGCAGCAGACGGAGGGAGAGGCAATGCATGCGTTTCAAGGCGTGGCTGCTGAATGCACTAAAGACTCAGCAAAGCATGCATCCGTCGGATGAAGCCAATACAAATAAGAAACGTAAATGTCAGCCCAAAATATCTAGCTGATGTCTTCATCTGCTTCTCCTGCACCTTGAATAGATTAGACTAGATTCATTGCTTTTTTTTTTCAAAATTGCTATTACAGTACAAGACTTTTACAATCAAATATTATCCTTGAGATTTGAACTTTTAATTAAGTATTAGGAGAAATAAACTGAAAGCCAGTTATTGTTTGAAGGTAAAAAATGGTTACAAGCTTGTATATTACGGAGGAGCAAAGTGTGAAAAGACCCTGAAGCTGGAACAATAGAATAGAATAGAACAGAAAATCCCTTTATTGTCCCAAAATGGGGAAATTCTGGTGTTTACAGCAGCAAAAAGATTTATACACTGGAAAAAAATCGAAATCTAGATAAGTAATTTTTTCTTAAAATAAGTGAATTTGTTCTTGGATTGGGGAGGTAAAAGAGACATTTTGCCAATGGAACAAGACAATTTACACTTAAAATAAGAAAACACAATTGCATTGTCTTATTTCAAGTGCCTTTTATCTAAATATCAAATTTTAAGAGTAAAAATACTCATTCCATTGGCAAATCATCTCATTTACCTACTCAAATTAAGGGTAAATACACATAATTTGAGAACTTTTTACTTATTTCTAGGTCGTTTTTCCAGTGTAGAAAAGATTATCAGACAAATGTGGACCTTAGAAGTGTGTATAAGAATAAGAAACTAGTGAAGAATTAAAAGATAAACGATATCTTAACAGAGTTGTGCACTAAAACTCTGCAGTGGAAAGAGTCATTTCTTCCCTCTAAATAAACCCCAGAATGAAAACAAGCTCCTATCGCAGACCAAAACCCAAACCCCAGTATCATCTAACATCCCATGATACAGTGCAACAGGTGCATCCTATCCAAACATTTAAGCAAATCCATCTTCCTTCAGTCGGAAAAATCTCTGAGGTTTTCCAGATATATTTAGGTAAAGGAAATCAGTGGAACTTGGTTACAAACTTCTGCTCTGCACTTGCAAGAAATGGCCGCCATCCGCCTGGTAAAGAATTGAAACGAGCGAGCTCGTGTCAACTATCTTTTTCAATCTGCCACACACACACAGCCCAGGCATACTTTTCACATCATGTCCTTCCTCCTTTGGGCTTTTCTTGGCACCGCTCCAGAAAAAACTTAGAATAGTTTGCTTTAAGGCAGCTGCTGAGAAAGTTTAGGTATGCTACCCAGACATCCAAGTGTTTAGAAGTAAGAAGGGATGCAGACGGTGGCGGTTTGAGACCAGATTTAGAGTGGGGACACCTTTTTTTTCATGGGGGTGCAGAAAAATATACAAAACAAAAAATCAGGGCAATAGTTTATCATTTAAAATATATCAAGAGACTCATAGAAGCAAAGTCATTTGCCACAGAAAAAAAGTGAAATTTCAATGTCATTTAGGTTCAACTAAATTTTACATTGAAAAATGTGAGTATTTCTGGCTTAAACATGTTAAGTTTGCTTTAATTAAAGGCAACTGAAATAATATTTTACCAAATCTCTACCTCAATTCAAAAGGTGATAGTGTTGCATGACTACATGATGTCACTCATGTTTGTTGGTGAACTGGATCTCATTGGCTGAGTGTTTGACGATGGGCGTCGCCGGAAATGCAACACCATGACACACTATATACTAGGGATGCACGATATTGGGATTTTGGCCGATATCCGATATTTTAAAACTCATGTAGCCGATAACTGATATCGATACCGATGTTAAAGCTGGACAAAAATAAGTAGTCATTGAAAATAGCAGTTTTGTTATCCATTTCTGACACTTTGAAAAATAATAAACTCAAATATATTTTCATATGCTGATATCAAATTGATTTTTAAAAACGCGGTATCGATCTATTTTACTTTCAAAATCTCGTGAAATTTCATCGTTCTGTTACAAACTCTCGTGATATTTTGCAAATTCTTGTGAGATTTTGTTAGTAAAATAGATCGATACCACGTCAATATATCAACATATAAAAATATGGCAAAATTTCGTGATTTTTCGGGGGATTTCGTAGCATAACGATGACATATAGCAATATTTCATTAGTGAAAGAGATTGATATGGTGTTTTTAAATAATTTTTAAAGAATAAAAAATAATTAATTCTACTCAATGTTGAACATGTTAATAAAGTAATCCACAGGATGCAAAATGTCCGAAACCTGCAATAGAAGTAATAACTTTGATTTATCTAATTCTAAAACCTAAAAAGAAGAAACTTCAATATAAACCTGTCCTTATAGTCAAGAAAAGTTGGATCAAGTATGATATTTGGACTAAAAATTAAAGATAGAAGCTATTCTTTGGAATATAATGTCAACATACATTCATAATTTAGGACTATAAACAAACATTTCACTTTATTTAGATCATTTTGAATTGAAAAGCTTCCTGGATGGGAAGCGAAGCATCTTTAAACTTGGAAACCAAGTCCAGTGAATTGTTTTTTTTTTACTTTTTTTGGAACTGTATTTAAATGAAAATGATCAATTTAATCAAATCAGAATTAGAAGTTGACCACAACTTATAAATAAATCCACAACAAATTAAATGCATTTTTTAGGTTGTTAGAAATAACAATTTGCAGATGAAAACTGGGATCCTATCTTAATACAACAAATAATATCAACTTATTTTTACATAGTTTAAGCAGAACTACAGAAAAAAAAATAATAAAATGGGTCTACAGCACATGTAAGAAATTCATTTGGTAATATGTCTTCAACACAGGGGCCATAACAGGGGGCCAGGACCAGTTCTGGGCCCCGTTGGACCCTATCTAGCACAGCCCCTGGATGCAGAAAGGTATCCACCTTAAACTAGATCTCTTTTCAAACTAAACAGATCCTCATAACCAACATCTAGAGCTAAGAGCTCTAGAACAAACTCCCCTGACTCAAAACAGTCAAAACTTCCCATCTTCTATCCCAACTTGATGCTGGGGATTAAATTAGTCTGGGTTTATTCAAGAGTTCAAACACTGGGAAAATGGGACACCTCAGTTAATACACCTCATGTGACTGTGAGCCCTTTGCTCTGGACAGTCCAGCCCTCTGTCTGAGGAATGCCTTGTCATGGAACAGATGGAGAGCCTCGAACAATAGATCTGCATGCATTTATTACACCCTAAATACTGAGGCATGTGTCTAACATGCACGCATGAAACATGCCTCTAAACTCAGAAAGTGGAATAGGACCCAAACATGACAACAAGAGGAGAAATCATGGATCAGCAGAGGATGCCTTGCTCCAGGGGCCATGCCTTTACTTGGAGCAAAAGCTTCACAATCGATTAGGAGATTATTTGAGACTTTATGGCTAAATCGATATTAAAGACGTCATCCTGGCGACTGTAATGACGCAATAAACCCATTAGGATGGCAGGAGGTTGATTAGTAAAGTTACAGCGTTTCATGGTCCTTCTTTTGCAGACTGCTGTCGGATGCTTCATGCATGCCGGTAGTTGCGTGAAGGCAGATCGGTCCCTCTTTAATTTGCGCACCGATCAGAGCTGCATGCGATCCCAGGAAAGGCCACATTTTTCATTCATCTCACACTACATGATCCACAAGGAGAGATGCGAATAACCCGCTTTGCAGCAGCAACGTCTCAATGACCTCTGGAAAGCTTAATTGGACCGTGATTGGCTCGTCCCAGAGAGACATCAGGCCTGGAAATGTTAGTGATGGATGCGCGTGAACTCACCCAACAGATGGACGGTTGATCTGCTCCGCTCTGCTCCTCCTGGGAGCAAATCCAGGAGCGTAAAACACTGAATTCAACCGAGGAATCTTGATGATGGGAGTTTCACCAAATCTTCATCCGCGCAAAAAGGAGCAGCGATGCGCGGAGGCGACGCGGAGCCGCAAAGCGACCGGATCGGTGCAAGAATAATAATGATGATGATGGTTCTGATTAGAAAAGGCAGATATTCTCTCCAGTTTATGCGACCAAAGCGGAACCAGGAGGGGGAATAAAGTAGCAGTGTGAGGGTATTCGGCTGTAGTAATCTCGGATGCTTTGGTTGTTGACTGTGCCCTTACTGGGCCGCTTCCCCCGGCTCCACCCGCTAACCCAGCCTTCCCAGTGCGCCCATTGGCACAGGAGGCCGGACATGCAAATCCAAGCTTCCCATTGATGTTTTCCAACAGAAAAAAAAAAGATGGAAAACAGATCAGAGAGAGAGAGGGAGAGAGAGAGGAAGGGGTGAACTGAGTTCGGTTTCAGCTTCTCAGCTGCGCCATCGTGCGGCGGAATAAAGGTCACTGCACCGCCTTCCAAAAGGGGCCCTGGCTGCTGTAAACTTAAAGGGGAACTTCCGTTTTTTTACATTGGGCCCTTGATTTTACGTTATTAGCCTACTACGGAAGAGGATTAACTGATTTTTAAATTTTATTTCATTTCAGCATGGGGAAAAAAATCAGAATTCTGACATTTTTCTTAGAATTCTGACTTTAATCTCAGAATTCTGACTTTAATCTCAGAATTCTGACTTTTGTCTCTGAATTCTGACTTTTGTCTCTGAATTCTGACTTTTGTCTCTGAATTCTGACTTTTGTCTCTGAATTCTGACTTTTGTCTCTGAATTCTGACTTTTGTCTCTGAATTCTGACTTTTGTCTCTGAATTCTGACTTTTGTCTCTGAATTCTGACTTTTGTCTCTGAATTCTGACTTTTGTCTCTGAATTCTGACTTTTGTCTCAGAATTCTGACTTTTGTCTCAGAATTCTGACTTTTTTCTCAGAATTCTGACTTTAATTTCAGAATTCTGACTTTTTTCTCAGAATTCTGACTTTTGTCTCAGAATTCTGACTTTTGTCTCAGAATTCTGACTTTTGTCTCTGAATTCTGACTTTTGTCTCTGAATTCTGACTTTTTTCTCAGAATTCTGACTTTTGTCTCAGAATTCTGACTTTTGTCTCAGAATTCTGACTTTTGTCTCAGAATTCTGACTTTTGTCTCAGAATTCTGACTTTTGTCTCAGAATTCTGACTTTTGTCTCAGAATTCTGACTTTAATCTCAGAATTCTGACTTTAATTTCAGAATTCTGACTTTAATTTCAGAATTCTGACTTTTTTCTCAGAATTCCGACTTTTTTCTCAGAATTCCAACTTTAATTTCAGAATTCTGACTTTTTTCTCAGAATTCTGACTTTAATTTCAGAATTCTGACTTTAATTTCAGAATTCTGACTTTTTTCTCAGAATTCCGACTTTAATCTCAAAACTCTGACTTTATTCTCAGAATTCTGATTTTTTTTATTGTCAGAATTCAGTCAGAATTCTGAGATTAAAGTCAGAATTTTCCCATACTGAACTGAAAATAAAATTTAAAAATCAGTTAACTTTTTTTTTTTTTTTTTTCCAGTGGCCCTAATCCTCTTCCGTATTATTCCATCATGTTCTACTCCCCCATATTAGTTTTGTGTCATTTGGAGCCGTTCTGAAGATATTCCGTTAGGTTATCCAAGTAACTTCTTCCTATGCGCAACAAGTTGAAGGCACAAACTAAACTGTTCATAATTTATCATTTATGGTACGCCAGCATTCATAACATGTAGGCGAATCACTGTCCCCCAGATATCCGCCGTTATATTTTTTATATTTATAGTTTTTTTAAAACAAAGCGGCGCGTGTATGACGTCATCCGTGCGCCGGACTGGAGTTGTGACAGGCAGCCCGGGCCACAGGCGGCTACGCTCTACCCCTTCTATTAATTCGGCTAGCTAATTTGAATCGTTCAATTCTATTTTGAGAGGGAGATCATCTGTGGTAGCAGCACTAGACATCTTCCAGGCATGTGAGTAAAACTAGCAGCAGTTCAGCGGACAGGATGAATGAACGGTAGCCGGCCCGCGGATGACGTCAAACACACTCCGCTTTGTTTTTAAAAGATATAAATATAAAAAATATAACCGCTGATGTCTGGGGGACAGTGGTTTGCCTACATGTTATGAATGCTGGTGTACCATAAAGAATAAATTATGAACAGTTTAGTTTGTGCCTTCACGTCGTTGCCCATAGGAAGACATTACTTGCATAAAACCAAATGGAATATCTTCAGAACGGCTCTAAATGACACAAAACTAATATGGGTGAGTAGAACATGATGTAATAACGTAAAGATAAGGGCCCAATGGAAAAAAGCTGAAGTTCCTCTTTAATACAGTGGTAAACAGTGGTGTCAAAAGTACACACATTTGTTACCTAAGTAGAAGTATAGATACTGAAGTTTAAAAACACTCTGGTAAAAGTTGAAGTATCAACTTGACCTCTTTACTAAAGTTAAAGTGAAAAAGTATGTGCTCCAAAAACTACTTAAAGCATAAAAGCAGTGGCGTAGCTATCAGTAAGCAGAGACTGCAGTTACTTAGGGGCCCTGTCACTGACACCACTTTGCAAATATAATGGTGCAAAAAAATCCTCTCAAACCCACCTGATACCAAATTAACTGAAAGAGCCGTATTTATACTGCAACACATGGCAGATTTCACCATGATGGTGAGCAGTTTAAACACAACACCTATAGCAAAGCAGACAGTGGTACTTTTAATTACTGTGTTAATAACTGTGTATAGTTCATTAGACGGTTGGTAAAAAAAATACACTCATATATGTTTCAAACTGCAATACAGATCTTATAAGAATTAGGTATTTGAGTATTTTATTTTTTACAATACGACTTGGACTTATGGGTGCTTCATATGAGGCCCACCCAGATAATGTTGCTTATGGGCCTATTGTTGTGCTGTTACGCCAGTTTAAAAACACTCTGGTAAAAGTGAAGTATCAACTTGACCTCTTTACTCAAGTAAAAGTGAAAAAGTATGTGCTCCAAAAACTACTTAAAGTAGAAAAGTATAAAGTAACCTTTAAAAAAAAAACAGCCAGATGCCACTATATGAATTAAAAGCCCATTTTTATAACTATTTTGAAAAAATTCTTTGAGATAGGGCCAAGAATGAGGGAGGTCTTGTTGTCTCCGTCTCTCGATACGCTCTCGCCTGTGTCCGACCTTTTAGACATTTCAACATCTTTTTCTGAATCCAACATTGTAGCATGTCATACATAATTGACGTTTGTAATTTCAAGAACACCTGCTTGGTTCTGATGATTTCCTTTAGCCAGGGGCGGAGCTAGATGGGGGACCAGGGGTGGCCATGGCCATTGTTTTGGTATATTGTCCATAGACCAAAACTTAAAGATGGCGTTCTCTACGTCAAAAAACACTTTCGATTTTAAATTGGAATTTTTTTTTTTTAAATCAATGTATAAAATGGATGCATAAAGACTTCATTTTATTTCAATGTTAAAAGTAATGTTTAAATGTTGAAAGTAACAGATTATTAATAAAAATTTCTCCTGACCTTTATTGGTTGTTGATTTTTAATTTGTTACCCCTGCACCAGGCCAACACTCCCCACATATGAATTCAACCCTAATATTCATGCATGTTTGGGTGTTTGTTGTTCTGTGCATCCATTAAAAACACTGGGCCCAACTGGATAAACCCTTCGCTGGATAAACTCATCGCTGGAGGAGGATTCTCTGAATCAGATTATGCATAATTTAATCTCAGCAGCAGTTTTTCTAAGACCCAAGAGGTTTGATCGCGACAATTAGCCCCACAACAGATCAGAAAGACCAAGGAGCACGAGAGAATGACAGGTTTGGGGGGGGGGGGGGAAATGTAGAGATGTTTAAATGTTTATAAAACACTATCTATACCTTTTAACACCTTTTGTGGTAATGGTCAGTCCATCCTGTAAAAATAGAAATGTCCCAGAACAACATTTATATGACTAAAAGGTATAAGTCACCTGAACCAGCGGGCAGGGAAAGACCAGAGGTAATCAGAGTAGCTGCTGAGAGGCCTACGATGACTCTGGAGGAGCTGCAGAGTACAGGTTGGTGGATTGATCCTATCAATACCAATTTGGCATTGATATTGAACAATTCTTGTGTAAAAACAGTAATTTTTTTTTTTTTCTCTCGTGCACGCACTGACTGCAGCAGAGTAACGAAAGTCACATGGCTCAGCAGCGCCAGTAAAAACAAGCAATATTAGTTGTTTTGTGGTAAATTTGGCTTATTGTCTTGATTTTCTTTTAAATGTTTTGAAACTTTGTTCGTTTTCCTTAATTGTAATAATAAAGTAAAAATTGCAAAAACCAAAAGGACAACAGTTTCATGATACATCAAGCTTTTTGTATAAAAAAATAAATTATGGGTATTGATATCTTGATACTGACGTTTTTATTAGGTGTCAAATCAAAACCATAATTCCTGATATAACTCACCTGTACTGCAGAGATCCACAGACCATTCGGACAATCTGTCGACCCCATTATATGTTAGGATTTTTAATGAAAGCAGCATTTATATCCTGTAAAACACAATCGATTAAAACAACTTCAGGCAATTAAATATTAAGTTTGATCTCTAGACTACTTATTACATAAATGACCTCTTCTGCACTGACCATTGTTTTAAAGTATTGAGATTTCGATTCAATTTAAGGAGCAAAATTGTTTAATTCCAGATGTTTTTTCTACTGCTGGTCAGGAGGAAGCTGATGGAAGATGTTTTGCAGGTTAATTGTTAAGAAATAACTAAGAAAATTATTTTCCAAGGCTACTGATCCCCTAACCATAGCCGGCTGTAAATGTTCCCTTTCAGTTCCCAGACTGAGTTTTTCCTCCCATAAACATCTACATTCCTAGAAGGTCCTCTCTTCCCCAGTATTTTAAACTTTATTAATAAGCTGTTATTTGTTGTTAGAGCTCACTTAACACCCGCCCAGTTAGAGCCCCAACATAAACCTCTGAGACAAAATTATACACACACAAAAAAAGAGCAATTTCTGCTCCAACGAAGCGAGGCCAGCTGCCTCTCACACGCAGAGGAACACTCCAAGTTTCCGTCGAGGGAAACTAGACGAAAAAGAATGTTCTTTTCTTCCCCCTCTCCAACATGTGCTGCACTCGTTAACTGTGACCGATTCCCAGAGCTCAGAAAAATAAACGGATTCTGTTGCAGAGTAAGAGGCAGACACAGTGTTGGAACAGCTCAGCAGATGTTTCACACACAGCATAACCCAGCTCAATGGAGCGAGGCTTAGAGCAAACACTAAGGAGGTGCAGTTAAAGGATGCCTGCTTCTCTGATTGAACTGCCTTATTTTCTAGCTGTTTCATCAGATCAAAAACTAATTGTTTAAACATGTTTTATTGGATTGATATGAATCAGTTTCTCTGAGAAGAAACTATGAAATTACAATTAGAGGAAGGCATTTTAATGAATGCATCAAACCACTGACTTTACCTCTAAATTCTTTTTTTTTTTCCAAGAACATTTCTCATTGTGTACGGAAGAGGATTAGGGCCAGTGGGAAAAAAAAAAGTTAACTGATTTTTAAAATTTATTTCAGTATGCCCGGTAGTATGGGGAAAAAAAGTCAGAATTCTGACTTTTTTCCTCAGAATTCTGACTTCAATCTCAGAATTCTGACAATAAAAAAGTCACAATTCTGAGGGGAAAAGTCAGAATTCTGACTCTCTCAGAATTCTGACTTTAATCTCAGAATTTTGACAATAAAAAAGTCACAATTCTGAGGGAAAAAGTCAGAATTCTGACTCTCTCAGAATTCTGACTCTCTCAGAATTCTGACTTTAATCTCAGAATTTTGACTTTTTTCTCAGAATTCTGACTTTTTTTATTGTCAGAATTCTGAGATTGAAGTCAGAATTCTGACTTTTTTCCTCAGAATTCTGACTTCAATCTCAGAATTGTGACTTAATTCTGACAATAAAAAAGTCAGAATTCTGACTTTTTCCCTCAGAATTGTTTAAACAATTAGTTTTTGATCTGATGAAACAGAGCTAGAAAATGAGGCAGAAGTCTGACTTCAATCTCAGAATTCTGACAATAAAAAAGTCAGAATTCTGAGGAAAAAGTCAAAATTCTGAGATTAAAGTCAGAATTCTGAGGAAAAAGTCAGAATTCTGACCTTTTTCCCCATACTATACTGAAATAAAATAAAAAAACTTTTTTTTTTTTTCCTCAGTGGCCCTAATCCTCTTCCGTAATTATGCGACTGTGACTCGGGTGGAAACACTTTTGCCTTCCAACAAAGTCTGGTTTCTGAATCCTGCTGTGGGGTCTTTCTGCGTGGAGTTCTCCCCTACATGTGTTGGTTTTCTTAACACATTCAGTTGATGACGTTAATTGGTTCTTGCCGTTTTTTTCTTGACCAATAATCGAAACGGCCATCACCTTCCATCCGATTTATTCCGAATCAGGCTAAAGGCTAGCACTCTCTGACATGATTGACTCACCAACTGTATGCTGGGGGGGTTCCTACTGCGGTAAGTCATCCCCAAACCATGACACTTCCACCTCCATGCTTCACAAGAGGTAGGAAATTAGTGCTGCAATTAGTTTATAATCAACTATTTTCTCAATTAACATTTTAAGAGATTATACCATATGCAAGGACACTTTTAAAAAAGGTCTTTTCTGGAGGCTGAAAAAATGTTTTAGTTGTGAAAATAAAATAAAAAACTATTACTTAAGTCAGTTCGGATCAATGCAATAGCTATAATCATTAACAGAACTTAGCGAAGTGTCCATACTTTAACCTTTAAGACTTTTTAGGGGTTAAAGACTCAGCCACAGGGGCGACGGTGCAGGAATACGATACAAAACAGGTTAAACATTTGTTATTTTCAACATTGTCATATGACATCGTTTTTCCAGATTCATTACCTTATTGCTATTCATCATTCATAAAGCTAGTGGTCACAGAACTGAAGTTCAATCCAACGATAGGGAGATCAGGAATATACTAGGCTATGGGCTCTTCCTCGTGGGAAATGTCTTCCTTCAAGCAAAACAACACAGCTTTTGTCCACTGGGGGGAGCCAAAACCGACCAAAACTAAAAGTAATTTAGCATTGCTTTAAGCAGTATCTTGTGGAAAACTAGTTACTACAAACATTTCAGTTAGTAATAAAACAAAATAGACTAAGAGATCTAGTGTTTCCCAGTTTATCAAAAACCGTTTAGGTTTTCCCACTGACTTTATTTAGCTGTTATAGCTGAAATATAAAGGAATCAACTAATACGTACATATATTCATCAAAGCATTCATATTCAAAGTGTTCCCACATTATTTCTTACACCCATGTCTAATTCATTGTGACAAGTTATGATAAAATCTGCGGTCAGTAAAGGCTTAAGGTTATTTGGGAAATACAGTCTGACAGGTAATATCCATTTAGTTCTACGTTACTTATAAATACACAAGGTCAATATGATAACCACGTATTTAAAAAGTGTCTGTACCTTCATTGTATTTTATTTCACTTTGCAAAAATCTAATTAAGAAATTGGGAAATTGATTATCAGAAACCAGGCCTCCGAGTTCATTTGGAGAAGGTTTGTGTTATTACCTCAGTGCCTCTAGTGGTAAAACAAAGTATTACAAAAATAATTACAGAAATTAGCCCTGAAATTGTTTTTCCACTTGCCTTGGTGGGAAAAAAATGAATCTTTAATCTTAATTTTTTTTGTCTAATTTCCCTTCAGGGCTTCCGTACCTTCATGTGACATTAGCCATTTTAATTGAGAACCAATCCAGAGTTTACTCATTTTCTCCTTCCCAGAGACTTTTTTTAAACTGACTTTCATATTTTCCATTTCCTATAAGCGGTCATAAAATGACAGCATGCTTTATTAAAATTGAAAACATTTCAATTGCCAATATTTCTGCAACACAAAAACGACTAGAACACTTTGGTTTGAGGTTTCCAGATCCAAGCTCCTGACTTCCAGAGCAGCAATAATACCTCCCAGTATTATTTCTAACAGTTTAAAATGGTTTGATTGGACGGTAAACTGGCAGGATTTCCTTAAAAAAGCTCCCCTAACCCATTAGATGCCTCCATTATCTCAAAGCTTAAGTATCTAAGCCTGTAATCATCCCTGCATGTCGATACAAGACGGCTGCAGGAAAACAGCGAGGTCAAACACGGCCTTGAGTTAGTGACGCCTCCACAGATCGGTCTAAGAGCCCAAATGGAAAGATCAATCTGGAAAGAAGGGGAAAACCTTGGCTTTTAATCAGAGCCCAGCATCTAAAAAAAAAAAAAAAGGCAACACCTAAATAGAGACACTAAAAATCGTACATTTTATTTATACAAAAGCGTGTATGCGAGGAAACAATACATTATTTTCAGACACGGTGGTGCTGATGAGTTTAAAATAAGCACAGTGGAGTTTTAATCCAAGTACACTTTAATATGCAAGGCCATTATTCTGCATGGTTCCATTATACTGTCTAATTCCTCCATAATCTGCTCATCTAGACTGGCGAGCGTCACATTTAGGTGAAAGCTTCGTTCAGACTCATCCTCCAGCAAAGGGAAGCACTCGGCAGCATCAGACGTCCTCTGCAGGTAGGATTTAGCTTCTCTTCTGAAATATGACTGACCTTGCAGTCAAGGGATTTTAAATTGGCTTCTTTTCTTATTCAAGAACTTCAAAGAACTTGTGTTAGTGTTTCTGCTTAGACAAAACTGAAAGAAAAAAAAAGGTTTGATCAGTGATATTAATCACCACCACCTTTTTTTCCCTCCAGTAGCAGAAAAATAAGACAGTTTTTAAATATTATTGTCTCTACAGCAGCCTCTCTGCTTGACTCGCACCTTCACAGATGACAGACCAGTCCAGCTCTCTGGCCTCATTTTTTTTTTTCTTCTCACCTCTGTTTCCTCCATACTCCATACTTAGACCTAGGACGGTTAGAAGTGTCCCTCAGCTTGTCTAGGCGCTGGCTTGCACCGTCCTCTCGGCCTGCCTCCTCTGCATGTAGGCGTTGTAGACGTCCAGGAACATGTCTTTGCAGGGGATGTTGGCCTTCAGTTTGGAGCAGATCAGGAAGGAGCCGGCCATCTTGCGGTGGAGGGAGTAGGTCTCCTCAGGGGGAGGAGTGAGGCGATGGCGCAGCATGACGGGGACGAGGTCCTGGATGCGCTGTGTGGTGCTCTGAGTGCCGAAGTCGAACGGCTCCGCGGAGGCGAAGGCTTCACCGAGGATCATCACGGCCTCAACGTGGGCATCCTTAAAGGCCTGGTGGCAGATAAGAGGAAATATCAGAGCTGTTTTTTTTCATATGTTGACCAAAGTCACAAACTTTAATGTCAATTTGTGAGACAAAAAAAGCAGGGATAAAAATGAGCAAAAAACAAAAACAAACAAACAACAAATTGCTATATTCCTGTTCATCAAAATTAGATATAAACTGTTACATTAGCTAACAGATAATAGCATTTCTCTGCTTGTATTGGATGATATGTGCCTACAGCAGCCATGCCTTGAGATCACATGAAGGGAACGCATCACTTCCTTTTCACGCCATTTCTTGTTCATGTTTTGTTTAAATTGAGACTGCAGTCAAATTTAACATAAGGTTATTTTTACATGTAAATGGAGGAAGAAAATGCAAACGTCTGCTTCCAGAATCGGCTCCTGCAAAAAGTGCTGTCAAAATAATCAGCCTTAAAAACGTTATCTTTCAATCTCTAATCAAAATTATGCCTTAAAGGGATATTTTGCTCAACTTATGCATGTCTGACTAATATCCTCATATATTTGGCTCTCTGAACAGCAGCACCTACCAGGCCTGGACAGTAGGGGTGTAAATAATAATCGTTCTGTATCGATTCATCGATCCAACATCCTACGATCCGATGCATCGACACGTCTGCAAGAGTATCGATTCATGTTTATTTTTTTTTTCCCGGTCTATTTTTATCCATTTGGTCCTGGGCGTACATCTCCCTCCCGTGCTGCGGTGGCGCTAAATCTATTTTGCCCCCCTACCTCGCTTCCTGGTTATACTCTTACAGCAGTGTGCTGCAGTGAGCTTGACACAGAAATTTTTGATTTATGCTCAATATTGAAGCGTGGTCTGTGCTACACGCTGTGGGTCTAGATACGGCCGAGGCGGTCAGGAAGTGGGGGCGAGTTTAGTCCGACGACGGAGGGACATGAGGGCCAAAAAGGGCAGAGATCCAGGTGGAAAAAGGGTCCCAGCGTTCTCACGCACCTCGCTCTTCTAGCGGGTCAAACTTCACGAGTCGTTTTCCGCAATTTCGGTCATAAAAACAAACCAAGCCGGCCTCCTGTCTGCAGCACTGTCTGCCGTCAGCTACAATTTGGGAGAGGAGCAGCGGAGCGTCTGTGGAGGGGCCGGGGACGTCTGGAGCCGAGGTATTGCATTGCCCTGATTATGTGCAGTATTTTTTGATGCAACTTTTCTACTTCTGTTATTTACTGTTGTTTCTAAAAAAAAAATGCATAACGATATTACAGCTTTCATTGATTTATTTCAAATTTGAAACATTGTCTAGCCTGTAAGGTGTAAAAAAAAAAAAAAAAAAAAAAAAAAATTAACCAATGAGTATAGAAAATAATCAAATCGTTGCGTCAGGAAATCGATACTGAATCGAATCGCCATGATGGGTGTGATTTACACCCCTACTGCACAGTGTGAGGTACAGTTACAATGAAATCAAGAATCTCTCTTATTTGGAAAAATAGGAACAGAACTCATCTAATAGTTATAATCATCAAAGATAAACTCCAAAGTGTGAAACGGTAAATTTTTTAATAACATTATGCCATTAAATTAATATTTCTGATGATAACCTCTCACTGATGTTCTTCACAGAACAGCTGGATTTATACGGAGAATGAATTACAAACCAGGGCATTTTGTTTCACGGTTGTCAAAAATATTAATACCCTGAGAAATATCAATACTAAAATCCTGCATACAGTAGGGCTACAACTAACTATTATTTAGCAAATCCCTTATTCTGTCAATTATTTTTTCGATTAATCGATTAATAATCAGATAGCAAAAGGTTCCTTAAAAAAGACTTAGTGAAAAAAGGTTTGCTCTGTCAGCTAAAGGGATGTTTAATAAGCTCTACACTAGTTTATGTATGTACACTAGTTTAAGTTTATGTTCATGTATTTAGCAGATACTTTTAACCAAAACAGTTAAAAATAATTTGATTACTAAATAAGTTAACGATTATTTTAATAAATCAATTAATCGGATTAATTGTATCAGCCCTAGTGTATAGAATACTAATACTAACACAAATTTTGCATGACCTCAAGACCAAAGCTCTCATACTTTTGCTCTTTTTAACTTAAAATTTCTGGATTATTTGCACATTTTTGAAAGAATAATTCCTCAGAAAACCTTTAAATCTTGTCAAGCTGTGCTATATATGGGTTATTTATTTTGCATGTATTTGCACACTTATTCAACTAGCATCTGTGAATCTGTTGAGACAGAAAAGGTGAGTTTTTCATAATAAAAAAAAAAGTATTTTATTTTGTAATTTTTTTATACCTATGGTATTGAAAATATTATTGAATATTTTCCTGGGTAACGATTAGGGCTGGGTATTTTCGCCTAAGTCCTGAATCGATTCGATTTTGATTCATACAGTTCTAAATCGATTCATTTCGATTCGATCAGTTTTTACAATAATGAAAGTGCTTCAAATGTGTTTCAAAAAACTCATGTATTTTGTTTTTTTCCTGTCACATTAAACACAAAGTGCAAACTTGTAAATCAGACAGTTTAAACATGAAATGTGAAAAAGTGCAAACTTGTTTGTTAAAAGTGAAAAAGTGAAGCCTCACTCAAACAAACAGACATGAGCTGCATTATCTCCACTGCACAAACCGTATTTGCAGCGTTGTCTGTAACAACTACAGGTTTTTTTGGTCAGCCCCCATTTGTTAATGTCTTCAGTCAACCTATTGGCTATATTTGCAGCTGTCTGGCTTGAAGTAATCTTGAGTGCATCTTTCCTGCTCATTTGAATGTAAACGTCATGTGTGTCACTATAAAATGAATCGATCTCATTCCCTAGACATCGATTTTTGCAAAAATGTAAAGGAATCGATTCAAAATCGATTAAATCATTTTTTTTACCCAGCCCTAGTAACGATGTTGAGTTTGAATAGTTAGGATTGTGAAAAACCCTACTCTGTTTACCATTTTCAGATGTAGATGCATCAATTTCCTTCTTCTTCTAACCATCCAATACTTCCTGGGTTTGTTTTTTTAGGACATAAACTCGTAACATGAAAAGTTACAAATGTTTAAATACTTTTGCAGGTATTGCATCAAATAAATAAAAATGAATGAGAATATCAGAATCAGCAGCATGTAAAACACCCCCCCACCTTGGTCTCAAAGCCTGTCAGGAACTTCAGGTCCTTGGATTTGGAGAGGACAGTGTCCCGATCGCCCACAGAAGCTGCATAAATCACCTGGACACAGGATGTCAGAGCTCAGACAGAAAAGCAGCGTTCAGATGGAGAGACTGGGTCTCTACAGGAGGAGGATTCTGGGAAGTTAAATCCTCTGTGTTCAATTATTCACCAGGAAATCTTCCTTCATAAATCATGCATCCAGATTCCCAACAGTCAGCATACCTGTATGTAGTCATCTGTGAACGTTTCTGGGTAGCTTCTGCACGCTCCGAAGTCCAAGAGGATGACCTGCAGACAGATTCAGGGTTAGGGGACACGTTTTAAAGCAGAGGCATCTGAAAGTTGCAGGACTGGAGCAATCCAGCTCAGCTTTGGGGTTTAGCACCAACCCTAATGCAGATTCCTCACCTTGTTGGTTTCAGAGTTGTAGAAGAAGTTGGACCAGTTTGGGTCGGTCTGCATGAAACGGAACTCAAACAGCTCCCTCAGACACAACTGCAGGATGTTGTAACAGATCTGCAGGGACCAGATAATGAATCACATGGTCACATGATGCGCTGAAACCAGCTGCTTTGTAAAGTTTGAAACCGTCTTATCGTTTATTTTTTCAAAGAAATAAAAGTAATCACTGTTTCTATGTCGAGTCACTCATTTACTAAAGAAAGCAACATTACCCGTTTCTGACTTCCTTAATGTACCATTGTTAAACAAGTTTCCTAAAAAACCCAGAAAAGTCTGAAATTATCTTGTTCTGGATAATTAAAAAATAATAACTAAGTATTTACAGACATTTGGGCTTCCAGTCCAACATCATTCTTCTCTAACACCTACAATATGCTGGAAAACAAGATTGCTGCAAAATCTATGACTAAAAACATTCAGCAGACCAAATCAATCCTTCTGCACCATTTTCATTATCAACAGAACTAGATGGGTCTGATTTCTTATTAATTATTAATTTAGCATCACATTGATTTGTTTGTGGAGGAAACTGTTTCGTATTAATTTAATTTTTGTGTAACAGGAGATAAAATAAAAAAGATTTTCTTATAATTCAGCTAAAAATGACAAATTATAGATGGAAGCTATAAACCTAAACCTATTATTGAAAAACAAGTTATAGAAAAGGTCACAAAGACTCCAAGCTCTTCTTTAAACACTATTTAATTCAGAATTTCCATTCATTTATGGTGAGCCTGGATTCTAGATTTATAATTTAAAAAATGATTAAAAATCAAATGAAAATCAATGAAACTGCCTTCCTCTACATTTGGAAAGCAAATTGATATCAATCTCCTCCAGGATTTGCTTAACTGAGTAAGTTAAATGTTTAATAATGAAGAAAATCACAGAGTAGATTTAAAAAATCTAAGACTGCTCATCAGGTTTAGACCTTAAACAGATAGGAATCATTTTTAGAGGTTGACAATCTCCCAGAAATGTTCCTTTTAAAGTGAAATCAGATTTACTCTCATATTTTTTCCATCATCTACATTCCATGCAGATAATGTTAATTCAGAACATGATTATATACAGGTGCTGGTCATAAAATTAGAATATCATGAAAAAGTAGATTGATTTCAGTAATTCCATTTAAAAAGTGAAACTTGTATATTATATTCATACATTACATACAAACTCATATATTTCAGATGTTTATTTTGTTTAATTTTGATGATTACAAATGACAACAAATGAAAATCTCAAATTCATCATATCAGAAAATTAGAATATTGTGAAAAGGTTCAAAATTGATGGCCCCTGGTGCCACACTCTAATCAGCTAATTAACTCAAACCACCTGCAAAAGCCTTTAAATGGTCTTTCAGTCTAGTTCTATAGGCTACACAATCATGGGGAAGACTGCTGACTTGACAGTTGTCCAAAAGACGACCATCGACACCTTGCACAAGGAGGGCAAGACACAAAAGGTCATCGCTAAAGAGGCTGGCTGTTCACAGAGCTCAGTGTCCAAGCACATTAATAGAGAGGCGAAGGGAAGGAAAAGATGTGGTCGAAAAAAGTGTACAAGCAAGAGAGATAACCGCACCCTGGAGAGGATTGTGAAACAAAACCCATTCAAAAATGTGGGGGAGATTCACAAAGAGTGGACTGCAGCTGGAGTGAGTGCTTCAAGAACCACCACACACAGACGTATGAAAGACATGGGTTTCTGCTGTCGCATTCCTTGTGTCAAGCCACTCTTGAACCACAGACAGCGTCAGAAGCGTCTTGCCTGGGCTAAAGAGAAACAGGACTGGACTGCTGGTGAGTGGTCCAAAGTCATGTTCTCTGATGAAAGTAAATTTTGCATTTCCTTTGGAAATCAAGGTCCCAGAGTCTGGAGGAAAAGAAGAGAGGCACTTCATCCACGTTGCTTGAAGTCCAGTGTAAAGTTTCCACAGTCAGTGATGGTTTGGGGTGCCATGTCATCTGCTGGTGTTGGTCCATTGTGTTTTCTGAGGTCCAGGGTCAACGCAGCCACATACCAGGAAGTTTTAGAGCACTTCATGCTTCCTGCAGCTGACCAACTTTTTGGAGATGCAGATTTCATTTTCCAACAGGACTTGGCACCTGCACACAGTGCCAAAGCTACCAGTACCTGGTTGAAGGACCATGGTATCCCTGTTCTTAATTGGCCAGCAAACTCTCCTGACCTTAACCCCATAGAAAATCTATGGGGTATTGTGAAGAAGAAGATGCAATACACCAGACCCAACAATTCAGAAGAGCTAAAAGCCACTATTAGAGCAACCTGGGCTATCATAACACCTGAGCAGTGCCACAGACTGATCGACTCCATGCCACGCCGCATTGCTGCAGTAATACAGGCCAAAGGAGGCCCAACTAAATACTGAGTGCTGTACATGCTCATACTTTTCATGTTCATACTTTTCAGTTGGCCAACATTTCTATAAATCCTTTGTTTTTATTGGTCTTCAGTAATATTCTAATTTTCTGATATGATGAATTTGGGATTTTCATTTGTTGTCATTTGTAATCATCAAAATTAAACAAAATAAACATCTGAAATATATGAGTTTGTATGTAATGTATGAATATAATATACAAGTTTCACTTTTTAAATGGAATTACTGAAATCAATCTACTTTTTCATGATATTCTAATTTTATGACCAGCACCTGTAAATAAAAGCTAAGAGGTTCTGATAATGGGAGCTTTGCTCGTTTATGTCATGGATTAGATACCAGAATGTGTTCAGATCATTTCTTTGTTTATGAGTAAACCACAGATGTAGAGAAGCTTTCCTAGATTTTACATTATTGCTTATAAATGTAGAAATTCTCATCTGCAATCTTAAGCATCTTTATGCTTATTGACTCAAACTGCACCTGGTTTCTGGTTTCCTGATCCAGGTCTACGCAGCGATCCAGAGGAACTCCGTGCACCAGCTCCATGGATAGCACCCTGCGTGCCGACAACTCGTCGATCACCTCTGGGACCTGGAAAAATGGGTCCCCCTCCACCAGAGACCTGAAGGCCGGATTAATACACACGGTCAGTTACAGGATATCCAGTCTGAGCACCGACTGGTGAGGAGCTCCATGGTTAAAGACGACTTAAGTTACCGGAACTTCTTGGCGCACTCGGCTTCCCTCTTATAGTCGCACTCCCAGCCCAGTTCTCTCTGCAGAACCTCCAAGCTGCTGTCTGCAAACAGACCTGCGGACAAACAGAGCGAAGCTCAGCATGAAACAACAAACCAAAGCGAATTCATTCACTCTTTTATTAAAGCTGAAGTCTGTAAGTTTTTTAAAATCACTTTTTTGTCATATTGGCTAAAACTGTCCCTATGCCCAGACAGCAGTACATGTGATATGTAACCTGTGAAAAAAACTGCTTCAATTGGTACCGCCTACTGCCTGTATTTCACTCTGGAAAGAATAATTCGGGACGAGTCAAAACAACCAATCACAGCCAGAGGAGCGTCTGATGGAGTGTCAATCACAGCTCACACACGCTGAATCCCGCCCCCCCCCTTCTGGTCGCATGCGGTAGCCGCGCAGATGCTGTGAGGGGGGTGGAGCTTGGAGGTAGGGCATGAGTGAAGCAGAGAGGGTGGGGGAGTGGCGTGAAACCTGTTTTTCTTCAAATTTTCAGTCCAAGTCTGCTCTCTTCTCAATGTTACAGACTGCAGCTTTAAACAAGGAGCAACAGATCTGGAGCTGTAGGGGAAAAACAGGACACATTTAAAAAGGATGCAAGTTATCAATGAAAATCAGATTTAAAAAAAAGCTGTTTCATTAAAGTATAAACTTCAACCTGCAAGATGGAAATCCTAACATTTCAACAACATTTGGTTCCCTCTCACTGCAAAAACAGGGTCTGTTTTCCCCTTTTTTTTTGCAGTGAGAGGGAATAGCACCACTGTGTGGTCAACTGGGATAGTGACAATATTTGAAAACCAAAAGATTAAAATGGAAATTCAAGGAGTCTAAATTGTCCTCATATTGCAATTTGGTTGCACAGCAAGAAGTTGGACAAAAACTTAACAACAATCGCTCAAATAATTGATAAATAATAATTTAAAAAGCATGGCAATCCCTTATCCATCCATCCATCCATCCTCTTACACGCTTAATCTCAGGCGCGTTCGGGTGCCTATCTCCAGCTGTCTATGGGTAAGAGGCGGGGTCCACCCTGGACAGGTCGCCAATCCATCGTAGGGCAACATAGAGATAAACAGGACAAGCAACCATTCACACCTAAGGAGAATCTAGAGAAGCCAATTAACCTAACGCTCATGTTTTTGGACTATGGGAGGAAGCCGGAGTACCCGGAGAGAACCCACGCATGCTCAGGGAGAACATGCAAACTCCATGCAGAAAGACCCCGGGCCGGGAATCAAACCCGGAACCTTCTTGCTGCAAGGCAGCAGTGCTACCCACTGCTCCACTGAGCAGCCCTGGCAATCCATTACGTAGGAGAGAAATGCCAGTACAAATAAATAAATGTTATAGCCTGTTAGTTGTATTTTGGCAGGATGCACCTCCTGCCCTAATGGAACAAGCAGGAATATCTCTAAAAATATATGAAACGGTACTAAAACAATTCAAAAGCTGTTTTCTTTTGCCATTAATATGACGTAATAAGAGCATTTACACTTGATAATGTATCTTCTACTGAGCAAATATTAAATACAGTAATAAGGAATAAAGAAAATGCAACAAAATGCATAAATTTCTAAAACTTTCTATATTCAATTATTATATTTTTTCATTACACTTCACTTGCTAAGCTAAAGCCAAGAAAAGGAAACTACTGTAATCGACAATCTACTGAATGGTTTAGATTTTTAGGTCTGTTGTAGTTATTCTCACATTAAAGTCGGTTCAAATGACTAAACTTTAACTAACTTAACCATGTTGGGCCTTATCTTATCCACTAACTTCTAAATCTCTGCTGATTGAATCTATGCAGGCCATTCTATAAACATTGAAAGGTTTAATTCAATATAATACAAACAGAACTATATATTTTTCTAATATTGCAAATAAAAATTGTTTATTTTAACTTAAAAAAATTTCTGTACATATTTACCAAATTCTTTAGTAATGATATCAAGTTAATTCTATTTAAGCATAAGATCTGAGCTTTTATATAATTTTTTTTCCTTCTAAAAATACCAAAATCTTTCAAAAACATACACATTAACTAATATTAGAGTGGTGAGATGGTTGGTGTTGGTTGAGGTTTGTTGTTCCAGCAGCTAAAGCTAATGCTCTGCTAACGCTAAAATGGCATCCACCCTCATAGCTCGCTCTGCGATCTGCGGTATTAAGCCTCCAGGCTCCGAAATGCTTTTATATTCGGATTAAAGCAACTGAAAATGAGTAAATATTGGACTTTCTTTCTTTGTCATCAGCAAAATCCATCTGTCAGCCCATCTGGGATTCATTTTTCACCACTAAGGTCCAGCCCATCAGTGTGACGGCTGATTAACTCTACTTTAACAAGCATTTGTCTGAAATGTTATATTTACTTGGAAAATAATTTTTATATTATGTTCTCATTGTTATTTTACATTTTTATTACTTATTAGTTTCAGGTCATTTTTATATTCTCATTATATCCGTTCATTTTCTGTAGTTTATCACTTTTCTTAATCCTTTTCATTTTTACTTGGTTTAACTTTACAAGCTGAATTAAATTAGTAACTTTTTAAAAGCTATAGTGGAGGATTTTCGCAAATTTTTGAAAAGACTCACACTCTCCACTTGTGTATCAGCTCAGACCTCTGACCAGGTGTTTTCAAAGTATCTGAATCAGAGCAACTGGCTGCACTACTACTGCTGGTGACCCAATCTCTAAGTTTTATTATTAGTGCTTACAGGGTTCTTTTTGCTGAAAAAAAAAACATGCTTGAAAAAGAAAAAGTTGGCAGAACTTAAAATGCTAAGGCAACAAACTGCAGAAAATGTTTAGGTTTAGGACTTTGAAGGTATAATTGAGGATTTTCGTGAATTTTTGAAAAGACCTGTCCTCTCCACTTAAAAAAAAAAATATGCACATGCATGACCCTGTAGCCGCTCCTGAGAGGGAACGCCTATTTAACAGGTGTGAGAGCGTGCATGCACGAGCCCATTTCTCCTCGTGCGCGCTCTGTTTAAAAGTGGCTGTTTGCATCACTGATACAAGCTTACTCTCCAAAAGAAGATTTGCAATTTTTTCACTATGTCAGACTCACCACCGGTGAGTGAAAATGGGGACGAGCAAGTAAACACATCACCAGAATGACCGACCATTAAAAGGACCACTTATTTTGAGGAAACGATGAAAAGAACATCCTTCACTATACCTTTAACTATTATCCTTGACATTTATTAGCAATTACTCATCAACTCACATCTAAAAAAAAATATTTTCAAAAATATTTTCTTCAAGCTGCTGAAGAAATTGAGAGTCTAAAGAAGCCAAGACTTTATATGAATATAGTTGCTGTTATAAGAAAAGGCATTTTAGTGTGTAATCCCTGCAGAATGTGCAACTCCAAAAGACATAAATATGTGTTTTAAAATGGTTTTGTTCGTCTCGAAAAGCCCGGTTAAAGAAAATTAAGTAAAAATAAGCCCTTTCTGGCATATAAAACACTGCTGCTACAAAGGCCAGTAAAAGAAAAACGCTCCAGTTATTGAAAAGTTTAAGGAAAATATTTAAAACAGTTTTATCATAGGTGAAAAAACAACTTTAATTAAAAATTTAAAAAGGGAATATTTGGGAAAACTGAAAAATTGTTGATCATGACAAGAAAACATGGTTTATTTTTTAGTTGCAGCATTTATATCTATATCCTTTAATATTTTCCTAATATATTACCACTTTGTGTATTTTTCTATATAATTGTTTTTGTTTTCTTAGGCTTCTAGCAGCTTCTATGCTGCACTGAACGCATCACTAAAGGTTTATTGGGTTCTAGTGAAGCTCGTACCTTCTGGAAGCGCCACGCTCATCCTCAGCACCGACATCAGGTTGTCTATGTCGCTTTGGATGCTCTCTGCTACTCCAGGGTACTGGGATGGATATGAGAAGAAAAATGGCGTCTATAAGGTAAACAGAGGAGTGGAAACAGTTCCTGTGTGTGTGAAGCGTTTTGTACCTGGATCTTCATAGCAATCTCTCTTCCGTCCTTCAGCACCCCATGATGCACCTGTCCAATTGACGCCGCAGCAAACGGCTTGTCTTCAAACGATGAGAGCTTCTCCCTCCATCCCGGGCCGAGCTCCTCCTCCAGGACTTTCTGCTCGGACAAAAGCACACACTGTGACTTTTTCTGAGATCCATCAGTCGCTGTAGACTTGCCCCCTAAGGCAGACGGGACTCACGTTCATTTGCCACACGGGCATGAAGTCTGCGCTCTGCCGGACTCTCTCAAATATCTTCTGCAGCTGAGGGTTAATGAAGGAGTTGTCTACGACAAAGAAAATAGGAGATGTTGGAAAACGACTCTCAGTGAGGAACGTTTGAGCTGATGGTTACGGCGGCTACCTTGTATGCTCAGCATCTGGCCGATCTTCAGAGCGGCTCCACGGACCTTACACAGCGTGTTGACGATTCTCTCAGCGTTGGCCTCCGACAGGAAGGGCGAGTCCATCAGGGCACTAACGTCTGCAGAAAACACATTGACAAAGACAAACAATACTGTGAGACATAATTAGAAAAATGTCAGAAAGCTGTGGCGCTAACAGAACTAAGCTCTGAGATCCTGCTACTGGATGCAAAACTAGCCAAACTCCTCAGAGCAGTTTCCCATTAATCATCTAAATCTCTAAAAATGTCCTTTAAAAAAAGAGAAGACGTATTTACCTCCTTTTTGTTTCCCTCCTAGAGACTGTTTGGCCACCTCTGCAATGGCACCAATACCCAGACCAACTGCCAGTCCTGCACCACAGAAGGAATCAATAAATAAATTATCTAAAAAGTTTATGAAAGCACTAATCTGTCTGTCTGAAGGGTTGATGCAGATTTCTTTACCGTTTGCAATGTTTTTTTAATTTCATTTTGTTATTGTTACCATTTGCAAACAGTTGCTCATAGCATCCACAACAACTCATATAATTTGACTTCCCTTCAGGAACAATAAAGTATTTTTGAATTAAATTATTGGGAGGAAGAGCGGCACTTTGTCTATGAGAATAAAGATTATGATGTGAGTCACTGAGCAGACCGTGGGGCTGATCTTTAAATAAATCTAATAAGAAGCAAAACAAATATGTGGGGGAACAAAAAAGGTTAGGTGATCTACAGATAGTTTCAGAGAGGCTGGGATGGACAAAAAAAAAATAAGTTAAGGATGAATATAATATAACTTAAGTGTGTTTTACATAAATATCTCAGTGTCTAAACAATAAAAAAACAAACAAACAAAAAAACAATAATTATGATGACAAAACTTACACTACCGTTCAAAAGTTTGGGGTCACATTGAAATGTCCTTATTTTTGAAGGGAAAGCACTGTACTTTTCAATGAAGAAAACTTTAAACTAGTCTTAACTTTAAAGAAATACACTCTGTACATTGCTAATGTGGTAAATGACTATTCTAGCTGCAAATGTCTGGTTTTTGGTGCAATATCTACATAGGTGTATAGAGGCCCATTTCCAGCAACTATGACTCCAGTGTTCTAATGGTACAATGTGTTTGCTCATTGGCTCAGAAGGCTAATTGATGATTAGAAAACCCTTGTGCAAACATGTTCACACATCTGAACTGCATAAAGATTGTGGATCGGCCACATTATTCTGTGCCAGCCTGCAAAGACGTTGTTTCACCACTACGAATGCTGCTCTATTATTATTTCTGACAGCTCAATATCCCAATGTGTTGATTTTGTGGGGGAAGGGGGTTAAAGAAAATGTAAAAAAAAAAAAAAATAATAATAAAAAAAAAATAAATAAATAAATAACTGGGCTTCAATTTCAGGTTGGATTAATCGCTTTTCATCCTCCAACCAGTATTTTACACTGTCTGGTCATAACAATAAGATCCCAGTCTCCATGACGGCACACAGGAAAGAGTTTGTGTGCACTATATTTTAATTTGCACATAAAAATTGAACTGCATAACATTTACATATCAGCATTGCTTGAGAAAATTTGTTTAGTACTGCAAGTACGAATGTCATGATCAATAATTCAATCTTCAAATATGAATCGTTTTTCAACTTAATAGTATGTTGATTTGTTCATGCAAACACCTTCTTGATATTGTAATGGAAATTCAGAAAAGGGAAACAAAGAGCAAATTACCTTTTCATTATTTTCTATGAACTTGACATAAACTATAAAATAACACCAAAGAAGTTAAACTCACCACCAAAGTTAACGAGGCGGCTGATTCTGGTGGAAGGAACCTTCCTCTCTTTGGCACGCTCACTCAGCTAAAGGAGGCGGGGAAAACAGTCATCAAATGATGTAATTGTGGTTAAAAACGCAACAATGCAGGACCAACAAGTAAATATCCATCTATATAAATACCGATGTAAACACCCCTGTGCAATAACCCTGCATAATGACCCTACTATAAAAAAGGCTGTCATATGTGGACTCACTGTACAGTATATACTGTATATATCCCATGCACCTTTTTCTTCCTTTGGCACCTTCTTCTCTTTTTGACAATTTGAGCTGATGTAAAGAGTAAATTTCTCTACTGTGAGATCAATAAAGTCAATAAATCCATCAACATGCAGAAATGCAAACACGGTTCTATCGAATAAAACTGTATATCTAACATTATAAATAATATTTAATGACAGCCGTACCGACATCTAGGTTTAAATACCCGCCCCGTAATAGGAGCATTTTATTGTCTAAAGAGCAAACGACACATAAAGAGGAGCACAACATGAAAGTAATCTACAGTTTCGGAAGTTATAAACTAACCTTCTGTCTGACTGGTTTAACCATGGCCTGCTTAGCCTCCCTGGCTTTCTTTATGTCCTCTGGAGTCAGTTTGGCCAAAACTGTGTCATGGATAGACCTGCTCTGGCAGTAGAAGAGCTGACGGCTGTGGAGGGTGTGCAGAAAGCGGGCGTTCTGTCCTGGCCAGCCTGTCCCACCTGGAGCCGAGCCTGGATAAGGAAGCAAACATCAGAGTTGACAGGGCAGAAACATGAAGGGGATTAACTTTTATTCCCCTGCTTGTTCAGCTGTAGGATTACAGACTGAAAAAGGGATCCGGTTTTCAAATATCGATCAGGAAGGAGCATTCTGCACTAAACATGCACCTGCAACACCAGCATGACATTTAAAAGGAGCATTGAGGAGTTTAGGTTTAGACACAGACACTCTGCCTAAATAAAAACACACAAAGAAATTTCAGAACTGAAAACCCCACCTGCAGCAGGAGAATAAAACCACTGGAAGAAGACCTCTAGGAGGCCCAGTGCCACTGTAATGCAACACAAATTTAGCCACTTTAATCTGAAATACAGCTGAAAACATAAGAACGGAGAGGAGGAAATGTGCCCTTTGGTTTGTGGACTTTCAGAGTTGGATATCTACTCAAGAGATGGGGCGGTCAGTTTTATATTTAATGGTTAATACAGGGAACACTTTCATGCAAAGAGTTTGACAGCAATAATAATAAAAAAGACAGATTTAGACTAATTTTAAAACAAGCAGGTACATGTTTTCTCAATAAATATGGGATTTAAATTGTTAGGAACCTTTTTTTTTATTCCCTCATTGTTTGGGGTGATAATACCTGTGTGCATCCCTGCAGTTGGTCCTGCCCCTCCTGGGCTTTGCTCTGCAGTTCCAGGCGGGAACTCTGATCCCACAGCCCATTTGGCTGCCTCATCTGGATCCACATTCTCCCAGCCCTCTGCGCCCGGAAAGACATCATCCTTTATAGACTAAAGCGAACACAAAAAATATAACAGACAGCATATAGTCAAACGGTGGCAGCTAGGGATGGGAATCGAAAACTGGTTCCTGTTCAGAACCGGTTTCGTGTGTTCCAATTCCATGGCAACGATTCCCTTATCGATTCCAGGCAGCACGACTCACGCCATGTTTTTTATGCAAGTTACGCACACGGCATTAAGTTAGCAAGTTTGCCGTGACCAGGCGTAAGTCTAGAAAAGCAAAACAAACAAAATGGCGCCCCATCAGGTAAAGCGATCAAAAGTTTGGATTTATTTTAAGGAGAAAGATGGCAACAAGGCGCTTTGAAATCATTGCAAAGTGGCAATTACATCAGCGGGACGAAATACATCACAAACATGCAGAAACACCTGCGCACACAACATGGCATACATTTTAATGCCGTGTTTTTGATGCTTCCGGACAAAAGCTAAACTTACGACCAGCATGGAAGGCAACTCTGGTGGTAAGTAGCTAGTTATATCTCACTGGCTGAGCTTAATGTGGTTCCTAGTAAATCCTATGCCATTTCTGGAAATAAACCAGTTTCCTGCCTCTCTTTGGGGTTATTAAGGGAGTGTGTTAATCCAGCCCTTCATTGGTAGCATGTTTAATTAAAACTAATGGTAGCTGGAATTTTTACATGATTCTAGCCAATGGTGAAACGACACAACAACAGGCCCATAAGCAATATTATCTGGGTGGGCCCCGTATGAAGTACAACATGTGATAAAGGTTCAGGATACGGTGACAGTTCCATAAAATCGGCCAAGAAGATACAATTATGAAATTCTCAGTAGTATATGATCACACATACACACACACGGGAAAATAGTGACAGCGCACCTTGAATGGGACCATTGGTGACAGCACACCACCACATGTTACAGAAATCCCAAGTTCCAAAAACTGCTGTAAAATGAGGCAGTTTAGGGCTACCTTCAGCTTCACAGCCCCTCCTCACCCAGACTCCTCTCCATTCATCTCCTGGTCGCAATCTTTTCTCACTGTAGCAACAACGTCCATCTCTCCCTCTTTGGTTCTATGAAAGAACGTCTTTATATTGGGAAGTTTTTCCATTCTTCCAGCAGCTCTTCTTTGCTTTTTCTTTTCTGGAATCCGCTAAAGTACCTCTTCTGGTATCCATTGTCGCTAACAATATGTACGTAACGGTTATGGTTTTAATCTACACTAGGGCTGCAACAACGAATCGATAAAATCGATAAAAATCGACTTTTAAAAGCGTTGGCAACGAATTTCATCATCGATTAGTTGTGTCGCGCAATTATTGCGTCATCTGCCGCGCCGTCATCACTGCCTCTTGACTGAAAGAGGAAGAAAAAAAAATACGGCAGAGCGAGTCAGCGCCGCAGGTGCAGTGTTGCCAACTCCGCGACTTTTCAGACCCCTCCAGCGACTATTTTTCAAAAAAGCGACTAGCGACAAATCTGGCGACTTTTTTCGGTGTCACTGGCGGCTTTTGGAGACTCTTACGTGAAAGCATGCATCGTTCCTACTCTGCCGTGGGGCGCCTCCCCCACCCCAACCGCGTTTTCCCGCAGGAGTCCCTCTCAGTCAGAGCCTCAGCGTCCAGACTGCAAATGAAGCGCGCATGCACCGGGATTGACGGCGCAAATTGATCACAATAATTAAAATAGCCTGCGCTTTGTAAAGCGAAAAAAGTGATAACATGCAACTTTTTTCAAAAGAAATTAACATGGCACGGAACCACCATGTTTGTTTGGTTTTAAAGTGGGGAAACGTAACGTTAGTCTCTCAGGTAGCTCATCTGATGCTTTCCTTACCGTGTTAGTAGGTTACAGACAGTGATAAGGTTGGCTACTTATTTTACTTTTAATTTCATTTGAATTAGCTTAAGCAGCGTCTATATTCACTTTATAAATAAATTAACTTGCAAATTATGAGGGCAAGACTTTTAAAGTTTAAATCTTCTGGCAAAGATAAAGTAAAGATGATCCTGCAATTTATGGAAGTAAAGCAGAATAAAATCCAGCAAGATCAGTAATATGTCAATTAATTATATTTGCCACATTCCCATGTAAATATCTGTCTTTGGAGGATGTGTTTTTTAGCACCCCTAGTTCTCTCATTTTTATTCCAAATACAATTTATAATTTGAATCACAGGGCTATTTTTATCTCTATGGTTCAGTATTTTCTCAAGTAGCAACTTTAACTGCTATACTTTCCTGTCTTAAAAGGCAGCCCTCTTCTAGTCTAAAAAAACTAATTTGTTGAAATGGGGGGGCCTATTGTTTGAACCCCTTAGAGGCTTTTAAAAACAAAAATGTCTTTTTTTGCGCTTTATGAAACAAAGTACCCTATATTTTGTGGATGTACAGCTACATTTCTCATGTAAGTTTGCGTAGTTTTAACACAAACATTTATTTTTCATATTGCACCAGTACAGTTAATGAGCAACCTGTACTTGTGTGCTTGTTTGTTCTGTCTATAATGTTTATTTTGGAATAAAGAGGTTAATATAAAAAATATTTTTTGTCCGATTCATCGATTAATCGAAAAAATAATCGTCCGATTCATCGATTTTTAAAATAATCGTTAGTTGCAGCCCTAATCTACACTATGGGTTACCCAGAATTCCAAGGCATAATGTAAAAAAATTAAATACTCAAATACTTCATTCTTTTAAGATCTTTATTGCGGTTTGAAACATATCATATGAGTGTATTTTTTTACCAACCGTCTAATGAACTATACACTGTTATAAACATAGTAATTAAAAGTACCACTGTCTGCTTTGCTATTGGTGTCGTGTTTAAACGGCTCACCATCATGTTGAAATCTGGCATGTGTTCTGGTATAAATAAGGTCACCTCAGTATCAGGTGGTTTCAAGAAGAATTTTTTGCACCATTATATCTGCAAAGAGACGTCCTAGTCTACAGTTGCATAGGGGGCCAACCAGGTGTCAATGATGAGGCCCCTAAGAGGTAGGGGGCCCGTAAGCAAATGCATTCTCTGCTTACTGATATTTATGCCATTTATTCTAGCCATTGCAATGCAGTTGCTCTGCAGTTCAGGGAGCGAGAGAAAGGTGACGCTCGTTCATCGAAATTACAGGGAGATGAGTTTATATCCTGAAATTGTACAGTAATGCTTTTTCGTCAAAAAGATGCCTCTCCATTAGATTTAGATGACTGTGACGAGACGGGTAGCCTGGCTGGCTCAGAGAATGGCAGCTCCCGTTTACTGCCTTGTGTTTCTGCAGAGGCAGGCAGTAATAGAATGTCCCAGGCGAAGGTAGATGAATGTCACAGTGCACTTACCAAGTTCATCGTTTCACAGAATCGATAAAGGAATCAGAATCGTGAAAATCTTATGAATTCTCAACCCTAGTGGCAGCAGAGGGGGAAACCTTTATTGGCTCCACTGTCATTAACAGCTAATTACACTCACCTCATTGGTGCTGCCCATAAAGGTGGCCACCAGCCCTTCGGCTACATCCTGAGCAGCTTTGATTCCTGCCCCCACTGAAGAGGTGCAGGCCATCAATCGGAGCTGTTCCCCTTGGGTCGTGATCAGGGCAGAACCCACTTTACCAGCCCCACGCAGGACCTGCAGGACCTCTGACATCATCACTTCAGAGGCAGAAAGATGCAAATGAAACATGTTGAGATGTTTTCAAATAACCAAACAGATCAGAAACAGATCTTTACACAACCTCAACATAAACTAGACTGGGGCTAAAAAAAAAAACGCTTGATAGTTAAAATGAGAGGCCGCTGGCATAAATATGTAAGCCCCTGTGGCAGATTTAACCTTGGAAATATCCGAGTAAACAAGCTAATAGACGTGAGTCAGAAGGAACCACGTGTTAAATCATATTTGGTTATACATATTCGACTGTGAACAGAAATAAATTTAACTTTCAGGAGCATAACAAGCTCTCAGCTTGGGGTTTAGCTTCTACGGGAGCTCAAGTCAACCTGCAGAGCTGCGGCTAAAAGATGCTAAAAACGATAAGCTAGCGGCTACAAACGTTAATCCAAAAAAAAACCCTACTTAAAATACTGCAACCATTACGCCCTGCTTGCGACTTACTTTTATTGAATATTATCGTTATCCAGTCTTTTCTCGGTAGTTGCCCTTACAGCAGCTCTATGAGGTCTGTTTTACAACGACACACAACACCAGGAAGTAAAACGTTCAGAGGTTGACCTATTGTCCAATCATATTACTTGGAGGCGGGGTTTTGATATTTAAAGGAGACGAGTACTTTGTTTTGACCAATGGCAGCTGAAGATAGCGGATGATGGAATTGCAGCTGGAATAAACTGACCAATCAGGTTTAAGTAGAGGCGGGTCAAAGTGGAAAGAAACATCCAGTGAGGTTGGTGTTCTCATTTGTGAGGAGGGGCCTCTATGCACGTGCTGCAAGGTGCAGTTACCAAACTGAGAGACGCTCAGGTTGTTATTCAGGAAGGTTCATAATGTCACCATTATATGCTCCTTTATGATCTACCACAAATTTACATTTCTTTCGTTTTTCTGAACATTTTGTTCATGGTAGCATGCAGAGGGTTAAACAAACCTTATTTTATATAGCATGGAATTAAGAGTAAATTTTGTTCCAAGTAATAAAAACCTCCCTTTCACTGTATATTGAATAGGGTATAATTAAACCAAAAGGGGTGTTGCTTCTTTGAGATATAACAGATAAATGTAAAAAATAATTATGAAGATGATAAAAAATAGGTCTAGAGGTATAAACCCCTCAAATAGATACATTACACAAATTAGTGTAATAACATGAAGTAGATCAAAGCAGTTGAGCATTTAAAATACCTGAGATTGAAGGTTGCACAGCGGTCTAGATGAACAGTTTCCCTGAGGGTATCAGTTAAAAATGTTAATTTTAAAGGCGTGAGGATTGTTCCTGTAGAGCCTCTGAAAAAGATCCTTGACAGACAATTTAGATCCAGTGACCCTCTTGCTGCAGGGCCTTCTGAGGTACACTGCTACAAAAAAAAAAGAAGGGAACACTTAAATGACACAATATAACTTCAGTTACATCAAGGTTCTGTGAAATTTAACTGCCCACTTAGTAATAAAGACTAATTGACAATCAATTTCACATGCTGTTGTGTTGAGAACGGGACCACAGACCACTTCTAAGCTCTCTGGCTGATGTTTTGGTCACTTTATAGAGTTAGTGGTGCTTTCACGGTTGAGGTAGCATGAGACAGACTCTACAACCCAAACAAGTGGCTTGTTACATCTATCTAACAGAGGAATACGATTATTTTATCGTTTTAATGATTTACTTTGGGGGTGTTGGTATGATTTTTTTGTGCATGTTGTATTTTGTAAATTTTCTTCTTTATGGGTTTAATGTTTTATTTCATTGGTACCAGATGGTAGAATCACAGTTATAAAGCAACCACATCAAGTAGAAAACCTTGATCAGGGCATTAGTTGCCATGGTAATGCTGACTGGTTACATTTTGTTTTATAGTTTTGGTTGTAAAACAATGGTAAAGGTTTGTCTTGAAGGTTTTATCTTTGTTTTTTTATTGTATTTAATAATTGCCTGTAGAAATTTTAATCCCCATCATATTTAAAGAGCAGAAATTATATAATTATTACAAACTAAATATATTTTGGTTTAAAAAAAAAAAAAAAAAAGTCAAAACAATCTATGGGTTTAAATCTAATGCAAATATCCATACATAAATGCCTTTTTTTTTCTTTTCGTTGCTTTGAAGACAAAATCACAGAACACAGTATGTGTTTTGGATTCATTAAATGAAATCACAACGTAGAGATTAATACATAATCATAAAGTGGAAGGGAACTTATACTTAGCTCTGAAATATTTTCACAAATAAATGCAAAAGTTTATTTTTGCCCAACAGAAGCTGACCGTTGAACCAGTGGTGAGAGCATAGGGCAGGGGCAGAAGAAGTAGACACATATAACGTGTTCTCACCACTGCAGTGGACACTTTAGCTCCAGAGAGGACACTCTAGCACAGCTTTGGCTTCCAAAACGGGCATTTTAGGAGGCATCTTTAGTTTCCAATAGGGCACTTTAGCAAGTGTTTTGGAACTAAAGATTAACACAAACTTCTAACAAAAAACAAAACAAAAAAAACTAGGACAAAAGCGCATTGTATAGTATATATGAGTCACAAATGCAATGTTGCAAACTGCTGATCTAACAGACGGAAACTGTGATCCTTTTAGTAAGTCTAAAGCTTAAAGGTGACTGTAAGGTCTATATAATTGTTTTAGTAAATTGTCTGGGTAAAATATTAAATAGTTCCAACGGTTGAACCAGAAACAGTTCCCTCTGTCACGTCATCGTAATAAATTGATTTAGAATTACTCTGCAAAATCTGATCTAATCAAGAAGAAATATTTCTCAAATCAGGCCTTTAATTTGAGCAGGTAGATAAGATGTTCTTTCATACGAATGAGTCTTTCCGCTCCTAAAAAAAGATAATTAGATGTTATGCACTTGAAAATAAGATAATGGAGATGATTTTTCAATTATTTAAATATAAAACATCTTATTCCATCTGCAAATTGTCTTAAATCAAGAGAAATACAATAAAGAAATAAATCAAGTGTTGGCTTAGTGGTTAGAGCAGTGCGCTTGTGCTCTGAGAAGGTTACAAGTACCGGTAGCTGGTTTGTTTGACAAAGCCTGCACTCGGGGTCCCTGAGCAACACCCTTATTCCCACACTGCTCCCTGGGTGCCCCACAATGGCAGCCCTCCACTGCCCAAGGGGATGGGTTAAATGCAAAGGTAGATTTCTCTAATTTAAGATCAATAAAGTTCAGTTATTATTATTACACCCACTTTAAGAAAAATTGACCAATGCATACTTAGTATCTTTTTTCAGTACAGACCTACAGTTGGCCCCAGTCTAGAACCACCCATGCCGCCAGAGACTGCTAAAGATTGGATCCTGGAAGTTATTCCTTTGAACAGGGCAGCAACACCTAAATAAACACCTGCAGTTACGATGGAACTGAACCTCTTTGTCGACTTGGTCAGATTTAGGACCTGTTCAAAATGAATCCAAAGCTTGACGAGGCATTTAATGTCCAATTGGGCTCTAAAACCTCTCTGTGCTTGGCATGTGTTGCCAGATAGAGTCAGTCTCTAGATGTGCCTGCCAGCTTTTAACAAAATCCAAAAGACTTGGTGGTTTAACAAAGCTGCAAGCCCAACCCAGAGTGTATTAGCCAAAGCCTATAAAAGTGATCTATTATTGTTCATCCACTACACAGTTATGCAATGTTTTCCTTGTGTTTTCACCCAAAAAAGCCCCTATAAAATAAACTGAATGTTGTTCAAATTTGACAATATGACTCTAAATATCTTTGCAAGGTATAAGTTTGCAGCAAACAGTGACATGAAGTTTGCACATGAAGTGGTTTGGGTGCCCTCTGCTGGACAGATATCAGGATTCTGTTTTCTGTCTAGCTCTTTTTGTGCAGCAGCTGTTCAAAGCATACCTACCACTTTGCATCTATTTATTATCCTGTAACAAACCAAATATAGAATCAATGAGTAGCTGAACAGATATAGGTGATATAACTCGCAGCTATGCTGAAAGACTGCTTTTAAAAAGCTGGAAAGCAGCAGGTGTTGAAATATTTCTGAGGAAATCTAATGAAACATTAATGACCTTTGCTGTCTGTCTGTGTGCCTGATGTGGGACACAATGTGTACAAAAACTGAAACAGGAGAAACGTAGCTCAACACTAGTGGTTTCAGTGGCAGAAGGAAATTAGGGAGCCGGATCACATTTCAGTGCAATGAAGGAACAGGTTTTAAAAAAAACAAATCTTAACAGTATCCTTATTCCAATAAAACAATGATTTAAAAACTTTTATGTCATCTATCAAAGTTCTAAGTCAATTTAAAAAAAGGATGTTAATAAAAGAATTGATGAAAAAATAAGAAAAACTGGTTAGGGAGACAATCAAGATGCCAGACACCAACAGCAACACTGAAAGAGCTGCAGGAATTTCTGCCTTGCAGTGGTTGCGCTCAACGTGACAACATTCTCCGTATTCTTCGGATGTCTGACTAAGAGGTTAAATCTGCCAAAACCGTTTGGCTTAATGTGTTCTGGTCTGATGTAGCCACTCCTTGGGTTTTTAATGTCCTTGATTTCAAAAATGTTTTCTTATGCAAAGAATGGCCAAAAAGAACAGCTTGGCAGTGATACAACACGGCAGTGGCAGCATCAGGATGTGGGATTATTATGCACCTGGTGTAACTTTTTTCTTCTGATGGAATGATAAAATTCTCCAGAGTCATATTTAATACAAAACTTTCAGTAATTTGATGGAAAACTAGAGATTAAGATAGATTTCATTTTTTTATACTAGAGAAATCAGGAAAAGAGCTATAAAAATGTTTTGTAGCAGAAAAAAGCGTATAATTTAGATTAAATCTTAACATTTCTTAAAAGAGGAAAGGTTAGATAATATAGACCGGCCAGTTTTATACTAAAAAGATGCAAGATGATCAGTCACTGCTACTAAAAAAAGGATAATTGATGTAACTGATCTAAAAGGGATTCAACAAACAATATAGTTCATACTTCTCCTTCCCCCCTAATAGAACGTTTTGCCTATTACCTGCATAATAAAACCTGCACCATCCTGGAGAGAAATATCAGCTGTGCTGCTGCCATCAACACCTTTGTTTATAGATGTTCGAGATCGGCCTGTTTTTCAGTGTAGTCTTGTTTCTCTGACTGTAACTGGCTGGATGTAATCTCTTCATCCTCTGACATGGGACTTGGCTCGGAGTTCGTCTGCCTGGCTGTGTGTTTCCTGGACAGGGCTGCCTTGCTTTTTGTTTCTCTGAAACTGTCTCCTTGAACCCCAGTCAGCCTCAGCAGATGGCCGCTCACACTGAGCCTGGTTCTGTTGGAGGTTTCTTCCTATTAAAAGGGAGATTTCCTCTCCACTGTTGCTACAAACATGCTTAGTGTGAGGGATTGCCTTCGCCTCAATGAGTCGGTGCAATCAACTGGTTTTCCTTAGATTGAAAACTTTGAATCAATTTGACTGGATGATCTGGTGAACTGTAAAGTGCCTAAGATAACATGCGTTGTGATTTGGCGCTATAGAAATAAACTGAATTAAATTAAGCCAAAAAACAGCCAGTTCAGGTGTTTATAAAATATATGT